TCTTTACTATAAAAAAAAGAAGACTGAAACGTCAAAAATAATAGAGCTGGGAATTTGACTCAGGGAGTTAGGAAAAGAACAATGAAACTAAGCAAAAACAAAAATAAAAACAAAAAAATCAAGCAGTGGTAATTAATAACAATAACTGTTTAAATAAAATAAATATAAAATTAGAAAGCATAAATAAAATATAAAACTAAGAAATATAAATAAAATAAATATAGAACTAAAAAATATAAATAAAATAAAGAGCTGTTTCTTTCAAACAATTATAGTGTTATAAATAAAATAAATATAGAACTAAAAAATATAAATAAAATAAAGAGCTGTTTCTTTCAAACAATTATAGTGTTTAACCCTAAGAAATCTGATCAGATAGAAACAAAAGGGCAAAAAACACATTAGTAATAAGAAAAAAGATATTGCACAGGTAGTAATAGCAACTGGTTATAGTGGAATATGAAGTATAAATCTAGAGTAACATACTAAAACATACAGGGGATATATGTGATTTTTTAAGAAAATAGCAATTATGAAAATTGATGCAAAAAATTCATAAGGGACATAAGGAAAGTAGGGGAAAAGTAGTTCAAGTCTATCATTTGAGACATATCAGTGCTCATAGACAGTGCTACCAGACACACTTACACTGGCACAGAAGGCCTGGTCAGGTCTGGTAAAGGCAGAATTGGCAGAGATCCCAGTTGTTTCTGGCAACCCTATGTGTGTGAAATGGGTATGACAGGCTGGGGACTCAACAATTAAGGCAGGCTGGAGAGAGCATACCCAGAATAGGGTGTTGGGGGAAGGAAGTTAGAATGGGATGGGCAAGGCTAGGGTGAAATTGACTAGCAGGGGTCAAGGCTAACAGACAAGTCTGAGACATCATGGGATGGTCAGTGTAGAGTAAGATGGGCATGGACAGAGACATGATGGCCATGATAGGTAGCGCAGGGAAAACTGTACCATTTTGTGGAAGTGTCCACAAAGTGGAATCATCTGGGAGGACTACCCCATGCTCACCTATCCTCAATCTTTCCAAGTGGCATTTAAAATGAAGGACTGTACCATCTCAATATTTTACCAACATCTCTGACCTGGGGAATATTAACAATTACACAGGAGTTGGCCAATCGCCTGTGCACTAATCAGGTGCCAATTATACATCTGATGGCCCAGATGGTGGTCTTCAGGAACAAGGGTCGTTAGCTCCCCTGACAGAGGATGGGAATTTCAAAACATCCCACCTCTCCAAAGACAAAGACAAGAAACCAAACAGTGGGCAGAGAAGAACAGAGAAAATTTCACAGGAAGTTTTCTCACATAGGACATGAAGCCCTGGACCTAAATTGTGCAGGGCTCAGTTGTCCGCTCTGGAGCGCAAGTCAGTGGTGAGTGGGTCATGCTGGATTGTCTGGTGAAGCATCAGGGCCAGCAGGCCTGCCCGGTTCATCATAGCCGTGCGCACCTTGTGTTCCTGCTCAAGGAGCACTTCCAGCTTGTGCAAGAGTGGGAGGTAAGCATGAGAAGGAGATTCCAGAATCTTACCCACCCCCCAGCCCCATTCACCATTGTAACCTACCACCCGCACACGCTCAAGGTCCACCTCAGCACGCCTCAGTTTCTCCCAGCAGTAGTGGTGGTTGCACAGGCGTTTGGGGAGGCGACAGAAATCACCTGTTGACTCAAAGACATTGTGCACTAGCGGGCAACCACATACCTCATCATTTGGTACCTGAAGGGTAGAATTAAGAATAATGAGCTATGCAGGAGGTTAGTGATGAAGAACGATCAGGCAGGCCTGATGAGAGTAATGGGGGAACAGAAGGCCAGGAGGAGAGTAATGGGAAGTGATCAGGCAAGGAAGAAGAGAGGAATCCACAGAAGAGGGGACAATTGAGAGATGACCAAGCATGGAGCATTGCGTAATGAAGTTGAGCAAACAGGGCTGGAGGAACAGAGGTGATTAGGCAGGAAGGACAAAATAATTAAAAGAGATCAAACAAGAAGGAGAGGAGGGCCAGAGGGGCTGTACTGGGAGGAACATGAGAAATAGAAAGCAATCAAGCAGGAGGCAAGGATTGAGAGGAGGTCTGACAGGGAGAAGTAAGTGAGTGGAAGTTGGTGAAGCAGGGAGAAGGCGAACAATAATGGGGCAGGGAATGTTGGAGAAATGAGGGGGTGATTAAACAGAGGAAGAAAGAATTCAGGAGATGACAGGCAGAGAGACCATCCCTGTGGGGCACCAAGGCAGGGGGAATAAGAAAAAGGAAAAGCGGCGGAACTGCCAGCCACTATGGGTAACAAGGGAGAAATCTGAGGTAGCCAAGAAGTGGGTGGGACAGGAATGGAGGATGGTCAAGAAAAGAGGAAAAGAATGGGGGGATGCCTAAGCAGTGAGGAGTGGAATAGAAGGTGGTCAGATATGGAGAGAGAGACAAATGGGGAGATGGTCAGGCAAGGAGGACATAAATAGGAGAGTCAGACAGAAAGAACAGCAAGAATAGAGGGTGATTGTGTAGTGAGGAGGGGGGACATGGGGTGGTCAGGAAGGGAAGAGGGAATGCATGGGGGTTGGTCAGGAGATTTGGAAGGCAGCCTAGCAGGGAGGAGGATAGAGGACTGGTGGGCTAGGAGGCAGTAAGGAGGGGAGGAATGGAAGGCAGTGAGGCAGAGAAGAGGGGAGAAATGTGTGAGGAATGAAGTAGACCAGGCAGGGAGGACAGC